AGTCAAACAGTGATAAACTGCAAAGACGTAAGTTTTAAATAATTTTTTTATGATAATTTTAGGTATAATGAATAGCTTTTAATAAATTGACGTTTAATAAATTTTAACGTTTAGATTTTAAGTTGTAAATGTAATCAAGATTAACTAACCAAATATTTAGGATATTTTGAGTATTACTTAGATCAAAATGTTATTATTAGCTATATATTTTCAGAAAATATGTCATAGTTTTTGACGCTGTAAATAAAACTTTTAATATTATAAAAATCTAAATTTATTTAAATATACTAAATACTATAGTAATTTTTTTTTAAGTTAACAATAGTATTGAGATATTTTGAATTTTTTATTTATTCTTTGAACATATAACCATATATTATTTTTTAATTTTTTCATAGAAATGTCTTTTCCAGTTCAACATGGAAGTCAATCAGTGAATAACGCAATAAAAGCAAATTGATAGATATGGCTGAAAATATTAACTGTGGTGGTTTTGTATTTTACAATAATTTTGATTCTGCTAATTTGGCTAAAGTTGAGTTGGTAAGAGTATCAGAGATATGTAATATAGGTAATCATTTTTATCTTATAACGTGCATAAACTAATATATTCATTAATAATATATTTATTCTCAAACTCAATGTTAAATTCAATATTATTTATATTGACAAATTATCATTATCTTCAATTATATGTTATTATTGTTATGTATCTTTCATGTACTTGCATATCTCTAATGTTAATGCTTCATATATGTAGAGTTTTATATATATATATACTTATACTAATCCAGTAATAATTGTCCATTTATAGCAATTTCTGAAAATGAAAGTAGATCCTGCAAAAGTTTAAATTCTGATGAGACATTTGATTATGAATTTAATTTGTGGACGAAGTATGATTGCCATGGAACAGAATATCAAAACAATAATCGAACATGGTTTTATTTTGGTGTTAAGGCATGTGCTCCAGGTATTTGCGTCAGATTTAACATAGTTAATTTAAATAAACAAGTTAGAATGTTCAGTCAAGGAATGTGTCCAGTATATAAAATAATACCAGGACAACTTCATTGGGAACGGATCCATGATAGACCAACATATAAAGTAATTATATTATGAATAATATAACAATTGGTTAAAAATTAAAGTACATAATATGATAACAATAAAAATAATACTATTTTTTATTTGGGTTTATTCTTGAGAAATAATAAATTAAAAATTGTTATTCTTAATACTGTTTTTAATTCCACAGGTTGATCAAACCAGTAGTGACTTTACGCTATCTTTTACTTATTATACCCCAGAAAATCAAAAGGCTGTAACATATTTTGCTTTCACTTATCCTTTTTCATACACTGATTTACAAAACTATTTAAAAAAAATTGACATAAGAATGGCGAAACACTATGTGACAAGCATTGATGACATATATTATCACAGGGAATGTGCAATAAAATCATTAGAAGGTCGTAGATTAGATGTTTTGACAATAAGTTCTTATCACAATATATTAAATGTAAGAGAGGATAGATTTGATAACATGTTTCCAGAGAAACATGAAGAAAGACCTTTCAAATTTTTGGATAAGAAAGTATATTTTCTTTTTGTTTTAATTTTTAATTTGTCTATGTAAATATTTGATAATTTATATGTGCTAATTTATTAAATATATATATTTATAGGTTGTCTTTATAAGTGCAAGGGTACATCCAGGAGAAACACCATCCAGTTTTGTACTGAATGGGTTTCTGAAGTTTCTTTTAAATCGAGAAGATCAAATAGCTCTTCATTTACGTCGCATATATGTATTCAAGTTAATACCAATGCTTAATCCTGATGGTGTAGCTAAAGGACATTATCGGATGGATACTAAAGGAGTAAATCTCAATAGGATGTATTTAAATCCTTCTGAAAATGATCATCCTACAATATATGCAGCAAGAAATTTAATAAGGTAGAATATTTGATGTAATTTTTTCTTTGTTTTTTTCTAATACGTGATCTTTTTATTTATTTTTCTGTAAAAATATTTTATTATAAATTATTTTTTATAATATTATAGATATTATCATCATTCTTATAATATAATAGAAGAACAATTATCTTTGGAAATAGAAAGTACATGTATAAAGAATAAAAACAATATCAAAATGAAAGAGATACAACATCTACGTACTAATGTTATATGTAATACACCTACAAGATTACTACAACGGGTAATGCTGCATTATATTTTAATTATATCAAATTATGACAATGGGTCTGTCAAACATAACTTAATATTCTACAATATCTATTGCTTTTCATTAATATTGCCTCCAGGTAAAATTAATGACATTAAATGAAAGAGCTAAATCTGATACAGGAGTTAAATATGAATGTATGTTCACATCAAATAACTTGGATAATACATGTTGTGGTAAGGTGCAACATTATCAATTTGGTATAGTCATTTAGATTTATTAAATTATGAAATTTGTTTTTAAGATATAAATTTATTTTAATGTATTCAGGTGGACAAGAATTATTTAGCGATACACACGAATATCAAAATATATTAAAAGACAAATATACTGATAAAACAATGAGTCAATCTGAGTCAAATGATCTTTCTAAATCATCCGCTGAATCTGGTCTCTATTTATATATTGATCTTCATGGTCATGCTTCAAAGAAAGGTGTATTCATGTATGGAAATCATTTTACCGATTCAGAAGATACTATTATGTGTATGCTTCTGCCAAAATTGATGTCCATTAACAATCCAAATTTTCATTTTTCATCATGTAATTTTGCAGAGAGAAATATGTACCTTATGTTAGTAAATAGATTATTGATGCATTAAAATTGATACTGTAAATGTAAAAGTTTAAAACAATAATAATAAGTTTGTATTTATTTCAGTGATAAAAGAGACGGTATGTCAAGAGAAGGTTCGGGTCGAGTAGCAGTGTATAAAATGACAGGCCTCATACGTAGTTATACTCTCGAATGTAATTACAATTCTGGTCGCTTAGTAAATATTATACCTGCCAGAATTCGTGATGGTATTAGTAAAACAACGAATCATTTGTTTGTACCTCCTAAATATACTCCAACAGTGTTTGAAGCGGTACAAAATTTTGTTTATATATATATATATATATATAATCTTAATTCATAAATCTTATTATGTATATAATTATAACTTATAGGTAGGAGCAGCATTAGGACCTTCTATCCTTGATCTTACTAATAATAATCCCAACAGTCGATTACCAAACAGTCAATATCGTTCATTAAGAGGTGTAAGATCTTATTTGAAGTTAACGCAAATGAATAGTCTTTCTGCATCATGCAATAAATCTGCGTATAAGGTAAATTTCCGTTTAAATAATGAAAATAAAATTTTAGACAGTAATATAACATCATGCGTTTTATCCTAATATAATTTATATGTACATTACTGTATTAACAGTAATGTCAATAAATATTAGTTTATTAATAAAAATAACAATATTAAATTTTTCTTGTATTCAAGCAGAATTTTATTTAGATAGAATTTAAAGAAATTGATAATTTATTTTTCAAGTTTTTGATCATATAAGTAATTATTTCTTGTCATAATATATTATATTATTTGTATATTTTATAGAAAATGAATTAGTATTTGGATAAAAAATAAAATGCATAATAAAAAAATTTATTTCTCATAAATCAATTTTTATAAGAAGTTTTAAATAAATGACAAATGCACAAATTTTCATAAGTTTTTATAAGTTTACAATACGTATTATATATAAGAAATTAAAAAAAAATATATATATATACATACATACATATATATATTAATTTATTGTTGAATCAGATGTAATGTTTTGAATTAATGCATACAGGAGATATAGCGATTCTTAAAGTTTCAGAAATAAATAGAAGATAACTCATTATAAAATTATAAATAAAATAATTTCGAGACATTCTCTAATATTATTGATACTTTTAATATAATCAATATAATTCATTGTATATAAAGATTTTATATATAAATATGCATTAGTAATATCGAAGTAAACAACGCATACATTAATATTGTATCAGAAATGTTATCATATAACCAAGATCATAATATTTGTTTACTATTTATTGCTCATTACCTTTATATGTGTATATGATAAATGATATCTATTTCTTTAGAGAAAATCACGACATAAAAGTATACACAATCATATTTCTGGATCATGAAGATCTATTGAAGCAGATTGTATCTCAATGAGCAATCGTAAAAATCTCCTATATTTCATTACTAAAAATGATACGAAAATATCTACTGAATTCCATGAAACAAATAAAACTTACAGAAGATAGTATATGTGTAATTATTGCATCTAGTCTATATAATCATTTTGGATAAATAAAATTTTGAATAAGATATATTAGAACAAGAAGTAATAATAGTTTTATCAATAATAAATTTTTAGTAAATATATGTTTTATAAGGTATGTATGTGCATTAGAACACGACACATACACTTAATGATCATGATGTGCTATGCAGCTTAGCATACATACACTTCAAATAAAAAAATAGTATCACATATATAACATTTCTTTTTCTGTGATTTTCATATGAATCACATAATATATGAATACATGTATACACACACAAAAAATAACATTATTTTATAATATACATCGATTACTATTAAGTTTTATATGAATTCTTGTAAATGAATTTTGTAATGTTCTTTAAAATTATTATATGTTTAAATATATACATCCATTAATAAAAAAGTATTCATTTAATTTTATTATTGTCATAAATCCAAGTTGTTTATTCTATTAAATGTTTATCATTTTGAGTGTATTGCATAATATATAATTATCTTGTTAAAGAAAAATTATAAATACTATCTAACTATTAAAAAAATACTTTTCAATCAAAAAAGCAAACGTACATATGTATTTAAATATTAATCGTGTTCACTTGTCAGTTTATATATCAGACCACCAGAGAGCAGCATCCAACAAGCAAAAATATCCGTCGGTAATGAAAATGAGTAATTCATTGTAATAAGATAGTATCGTTTTTTTTGATAATTTCGTATTATTTCTGACAAGAAATTTCAGGGTTTTTTGTGTAATTATCCTTATTGTAAGAAGTTAATTTTTTAAAGATTAACTGACCATGGATAATTAGATAAAAGTAATATATTAATAATATTTTAATGAATATATTTAATTAAAAAAGAAATAAAAAAATTTATAATTAAATGTATTTTCTTATTTTAATTTTAAGTATGTTTATAATTATCATTGGATGATATAAATAAAGATATGTTTTAGGCTTAAGTATACTTTTTGAGGCTAATTTATAGCAAATAATGATACATTTGCATTATAAACAACATACAAAAATACAACAGAAAAAGCAAAATAAATTATTTCAGAGATATAGCTTTTTCTTCTCCATGCTCCTGTGTATGTTACTTGCTACTGTTCAACCATATTTAGGAGGTACAATCGGTATGCATTTATAAATAATAATATTTTATCAGTAATTAGTTTTATTTATTTATATATTTAATTATAGATGTTTATTTTTATTTGAATGTACATCTTAGAATAATGATAGATAATTAGAAAATTAGATAAGATACATATTATAAAATTTTTAAAATAGTAAAAACATAATACTTCAACAATAAATTAAAAATCTATGATCTATATATATCAGAAAATGTTAAATTTGAAAAACAGTAGTAATTATCCTTTAATGGATTCTTGCTTCCACAATATCAGCACTTTCTAGTAATTTTTTATTATTATTATTTTATTATATCAACACATTACTATATTTACATTAGTATTACTCATCTTAATTATTACTTAATTATGAAAAAGCTGGAGGAATTTTATACATTTTATACTTAGGAAGTTATACTTGAATTTTTTTAAATAGTGCATTAGTAGGAATAATTAAAGACAATAATAGGAGAAATACTTTTACAATAAGTTTGAATATCTCAAATCTATATAAATTTGATTATTAGATTATTAATGTGTATAAACAATAAAAATGTAGTTAAATTAGATTAATTACTCTAAAATAATATTATAGTCATATGTATTTAGTAGCATATAAATAATATGGATATTATGTTCCATTATAGGTATAGCAAGTGGCAATTTTATTGTTTGGTATTTTGCAGTGCCACTAACATATTTAGAGGCAGGATTATTATGTACTCCACATTCTCTTTATATGGCACTAAGAAATGGTTACCTGATATTATTTGTGATGGTTTTTATGTATGGTGTGATGCCCTTTTTAGCTAAGCTTGGAACATATTTGTTAATACATTCTGAAGTGAATATATGGCTTCTTAAAGGAATGGAAGTAAATATCAATGAAGTTCGGCGAATTGCATGCACTTTATATAATCTGGCATGACTTTTCACATAATTTATGCACAATTTATTTATAAAAATCAATATATTATATCATGGAATAAGTACGTATTCGAACAAAAAGTGAAGTAAATAAGATCATCATCATAATCATCATCATCATCATCATCATCATCATCATTATTTCTATTATTGTTATAATTACTGTAATTTTTGTTTATATGAAATTATCATATATAGTGATATTTCATTATAGTTGAATAATAATTTGGAAAAATTATATAAAATAAAATATAAAATATATCATAAAGAAAAGTTTAATATAAATGAAGCAATATATTTTTTGTAGGTACTGTATTGTATGCCACCGCCGTTTACTTCCAGTCTAGCACTTTGTCAGCTAGCACAAGCTGATTTACCAACTAGTGTGATTACTACTTTAATAGGACATTTTGGGGGCTTTTTTTTGTCTCCAATTCTTCTATATTTCGTGGTAAATCATATTTTTAAAAATTTCTTTTCTATTTCTTTTTCAAAATTGTACAATTATATGATTATATAGTATTAATTATTACACATAAATACAAATAAAAGACCAAAGATTATAATTTGTAAGATATAAATATATTTTCTATATTACAGTTAGGAGCGTCTACTCCACCTTTAGTTGGTGTTAATGTCAAGGAGATTATATATAGTACTCTATTACCTCTAATTATTGGAATGGTATTACAGTTTTATGTAGTAAACCCTAATGTTTGCTCTATAATTGGCATTGGACGATATTCTCAAGGATTATTATTAATCATAGCATATTACTGGTTTTCTGATGCAGTTTCTGCAGATGTGTCATCCTTGCAAGCTATAGACATATTATTATGTATACTAATTGGTATGTTATTATCGAAAATATAATTCAAGTTATATATTAAAATTCCATAAAAGTAAAAAAACATATAAAAATACTTATTGCTTTAAGCATTATTCTGTGTATATATATATAATAATAATTAATAATTTTATAATAATTTTATATTTAATAATATTAATAATTTTATAATATAATGATTCTTTTTTTAATATTTCAGCTTGCATCGCACAACTCTTCACATGCTGTCTATATTGGAGTTTATGTTCTCGATGGTTACCTAGAAATACTCTTCTAGCAGCATTATTTGTTAGTACTCATAAATCAGTTGGTCTTGGAAGCTGGATTTTACGAAGTACATATCATGGATCTGCTCAAGGTCCAGCAGTGAATTTACCACTTTCAATCTTACCTGTTGCACAACTCGTGCTAGGTACTTTATTAGCAAGTTGGATTGCTCCGCAGTATTCATTAAAAAATTAAAAAAAAAGTCTTGGAAGCTTACTTATAGTTTTAACAATGTATAGTCACATAGATATAAATATTCATTTTCTTTCCATTAAACCTTTAAGAAATGGCTCATATTCACATAGTATTTAAAAGTTATTTTATGTATTAAGAATACAATTATCAAAATATTTTATTCTTAATATTAATTATAAAAATATTAAAAACTATATAATTCAACTTCTAACTTGAATATTTATATTTCTACAATATATCTATCAAATGATACCGAATAAAAACGATCAAATAAATATTATTTATTGCTTTAACAAAATTTCAGATATTTATTCGAATATGTAAATTTATTAATCCAAAATTTGTATGAATATGTAATCATTTAAAGCTGTATTCATAATACAGACATATACGTTGATAACACGTAAAGAATTAATTTCTTTGTTGCATATTCGTAATAATTAATATATATTATTATTTATTGTTATGGGAACTGAATAAAATAAATCCATTGTTTTATTATGAGTGTTTTTATCAATATATGCAAAAGTTTATATATGTATACATCGATTGACTAATGGAATTTCCGTATGGAACAAAGATGAAGCATGCAGGACCGATGTAATTCATTTATGGCTATCTTAAATATTTCTGCATAATTTTTATTTATTTTAATTTAATTTCGTAGTACATGTCACTTGTTTTTATAAGTTAAAAAATTTTTGAGATATTTATTATATTAGAATCAAAAGTTAAATTCAATTGAATTTACTCGTATAACTTTATAGCGTGTAACTGTTGATATAAATTTTAAGTTCATTTATTTCTTATTAGACAACAGAATAGAGCTATATACACTCACCAAGCATATGTACACACATTTACACTTTTCGTCGTATCTAAAAACTTAGTGAAACAAAAAGGAACATATAAATGTATACTAGAAAATTATATAGTTATTTTTTCTTAGATTAGGGAAGAAATATAATATATGTATATTTCTGTTAACGAAATATAAACAAAGAAATATATAAAAGTCAATAAAAAGTATAAAAAGAATAACAGTATGTTTTATAGAAGAATAACAGACTAATGGCTCTGAAGTGAGTATTAGGAGACTTAAGACTATTATTAGGATTATTGTTGCATTTATTGCTATGATTTACATGTAGATACTAAAATTAATTATCTTCTGCTATATTTAGTTACAGTAAAATATAGAAAAAAACCATTTGTAAAAAATCTACTGATGCTATTCGTGAGTTTTTAGTATGGTTTATAGTTTTTTTACATCAGCTCTACATTGTATACTTGTAAATATACGTGCGCCAATTCGAATATATATTTAATCCATATATCCATACAGACGCACATATTACAAGCACACCTATGCATTCATATATATCCATTTACACGCTTCACATATACGCGCCATAAATAAATATTTTTATATACATATTCACATACGCTTATATATTTATATCTAGCTATGAATTTAGATTAATTTATATATATACTTAAAGAAAAAATAGAAACAAAAAATATGAAAGTAATATAAAATAAATATAAAAAAAATGACTTACTCCCCGGCGGGGAATCGAACCCCGGTCTCCCGCGTGACAGGCGGGGATACTAACCACTATACTACCGAGGATAAGAATACTTTATTTTAATTATTTTTATTATATAAATTCTATCTAATACTATTATATTTTTAATAACTTTAACGATATAAAGTAGTATACAATAATAGTTTTCTATAGTTTTACAACGTTATTTCATAAGTATAAGAATGACATATATGTTTTATTTCCTCACTTATATAAGAAGTAATAGTTTCTATTTGTTTATATAATTATTTTTAATGTTTTAGTATATATTTATATTTATATTCTTTTATGTATTAAAGCCACCAATATTTCTTAGTATTTTTCCCATAATCATCATTTTCGCATATAGATAATAATTTTCAATGAAAGTTCATATTAATGTTATTTAAATTTTTAATAGAATCTTCGTTATTCAAATAAATGATTTAGGCAGGACATAACCAGTGTGTCCCATTGTTTTAAAATATTGCGGTTTTTTATATATTAAACTATAAATAAGGCTATTTGAATTTACTTCGTGGATATGAACTTAGTAATATCTAATCAATTTTAAGATGAATAAATCTATACTTATCATCTTTGTTTCTTCGTACAGTTTATGTGTATTAATGTATTTAGTGTAATTTGATTCTATGATCTATACTTACCTAAATGTGCTCTGATACATTTCTATTCGAAAGATCTGATTTTTTTCCATAATTCCAGCACTAATATTAAATCAAACTATACATACGTAAGTTGTGATAAGTCTTATCAATAATTTATAGAATAATAATTTTATTGTTTTATATAGATTTTACAAATAGAACGGCTAAAAAAAACTTTTTACACTTTATCTAATTGTATAATTACATGTTGGTTATAGTTCAATTTAAAATTTAGACATCTAAATAGCGAATGTCTCTTTGTGCGGTTTATTTACGAGACATCATCGTCATAAATACTAAATTTTTTCGAGTTCATTTAGACATCTATGTTTCCATTTGATATTATTTCATAGATATGTATGGCCGAAATAGTATAGTCTCGCTTTTACTTATATTTATGTTGAGTTTTCAGATATAGAAATAATTCCGGATTTTCTTGAAAATGCTTTGAAGTTCCTTTTTTATGATCTGAGGTTTATCGTTTTTTACGTATATTAAGGTTGTTCAAAGAAATGGGTTTCATGATGCTCGCACGAGAAGCTACGGTAACTCACCGGATCATCTTAATAAGCTTAATAAGCAGATGGTTCTATGGCAAAAATAAGGAAATACGTGTTCAATTATTTATGTCAAGAAATCTGAATTTTTATAATATTGTTAAATTTTGAAAAAATTTGTAGTTTTTTTTAGATTTTATTGACTAATAAGATGAAGACTACGAACAACCTTAGCTAAATAAATTCCGGTGGTTTTTTTATTGCATCGATGTAAACGAAAATAATGAACTAATTTACTTTTTTTTCCTTATTTGATAATTTAGTAAGATGTTATATTTATTTCCTCCAATGACGGCTGACGTGAATTTCGCGGTGATTTGTGCTAGATAAGACACAGCATCAGTATAATTTTGTTCGATGACAAATGCATATAAAGTATACATATTATTTTTTCAAAATTAATAATTAGTGAATATATATATTATATTTTATTTTTAATAAACATAAAAAGACGAATTCGTTTCCATATTATCTACGAAACTTTTCCTAGCGCTATTTTATTATGATTTCCTTTGTAGGAATTCACTTCATATTATTAATATTATAGCTACTATTACTATAATAATAATATGTAATATAATAACATAGTAATAAGAAGAAACGAAAGAATATACTTATATTATATACATCATGAATTCTGGTGGTATGATGCATCAGGAAATAAATAATAAATTATCAAGTAAAGGTACGGGCAACTTGCAATATGTGAATAGAAAACGTCTGAAATAGACGAATTAGTGATTCACAAAAACTAAAAAAACCTCAGCGTCCCGTGAAGAAATTTCATATTGAAAACAACGGTGATTATGGACCAGATGCGGCTTGTCCTTAGCCATCCGATTTATGTGATGAGGATTTAATGCATGCCAAAAATCTGTTTGTAGAATTGTTAAAAAAAAAATTTCTTCAAAATCGAGCGCAAAACTCGTAGACAAGCAAATTTTTTCGAATGGAAAGAGCAGCGTTGTAAACGACCAATTGTTTCAATGTTCAGAAAAATTTGTAAAAGGAGACCACGTACTTCTTATGTAAAATTGATAGAATCCATTAGATATCTTTGTTTCAAGAAAAGTAATACTAGATGAGGAATTGAAAAAGAGCCATTTGCAATTAAATAATTCTTTACCGAGTACAGACTCGATATTGAAGATACGGGTCTGATTATAGATAAACATCAATCATTCTTGGCGGTTCCTCCAGACTTAATTGGTACCGATACTTTTATTAAAGTCAAATGCCCAGCTTCAATAAAGGATATGATGCCAATGGAAGGAACTGAACGTAAAAAGATTACGTTCATGCACCTTCAAAATAAAGTGATGAAATTAAAAGACTCTGACAGGTACATGTACTAAGTGCAGGGTCTTTTACATATCACTCAAAGACAATGGTACTATTTTATTCTTTGGACGTCAAAAGAAAGGATTGTAGATAAATTAAAAAAATAATCGTTTTTGGTTAGATAAAATAGAAGAGAAGCTAACGGTTTTTTATTACGAGTGCCTTTTACTTGAAATTGTCGATTTCCATAAAGCTCTCGACTTTCATAAAATCTTTTAATTCGAGAATCGGCGCGGATTTTAGAAGCACAACGTGATTATGACAATCAAAGGTTTTCAAATATTAACATGTAGTCATTGTCTTTACAATTTTAATATACAATGTATTAAATAATATTTAGATGTATCTAAATAATATTTAAGTACATTTTTATTATTATTATTATTATCAGTAGTAGTAGTAATAGTAGTAGTAGTAGTAATAATCGAAATATTTAGAGTAAATTAGTCTTACAGGGAAAACAAGTAAAATAAAGCGCTGAGAGTTTTACCTCATAAGTATTGTGGAAATGAATTTATGTTTTAATTTGTATTAAAATAATATAATATATAAGTATTTGCTAATTATTTATAAGGAAATATTCGATAAAATCTTATTTTTTGTCGCAGATTTATATACTAATTCTTATATGTGTCAATTATATTATTTATAAACAAATATATTACAAATATATTATTATTATTTTGTATGCATTTATCGTGAAACAAATGCGTACCAACGTTGTATCTGTAGTACGGATCACTGCGAGACGCACGTTACTATCAAAGAAAAATATACATATGAAAACTGGAAAATGTGAGTTCACAGCTACTAAACTACTTACTCTACTTACTAACCAAAATCGATTATTATGTACGTTTGAGAGGGGAATAACCAACAAGTTTATTCACTGATACAATAAATACATGGTGGGATCAGCATTCTCCGCTTGTTTTGTAGTTTATATTTTGTCCATACCTGTCGCTGA